TTAAGTGATTTTACTGTGGCTCTCGTTGGCTGGTAGACTGTGGTTGTCGTTGGCTGTTAGACTGTGGTTGTCGTTGGCTGTTAGACTGTGGTTGTCGTTGGCTGTTAGACTGTGGTTGTCGTTGGCTGGTAGACTGTGGCTCTCGTTGGCTAGTAGACTTGGCTCTCGTGCTGGTGACTGTGGCTCTCGTTGGCTGGTAGACTGTGGCTCTCGTTGGCTGGTGGAGCTGTGGCTCTCGTTGGCTGGTAGACTAGGGCTCTCGTTGGCTGGTAGACTGTGGTTGTCGTTGGCTGGTAGACTGTTGGCTCTCGTTGGCTGGTAGACTGTGGCTCCTCGTTGGCTGTGGAGCTGTGGCTCTCGTTGGCTGGTAGGCTGTGGTTGTCGTTGGCTGGTAGACTGTGGTTGTCGTTGGCTGGTGAGACTGTGGCTCTCGTTGGCTGTTAGACTGTGGCTCTCGTTGGCTGGTAGACTGGCTGGGCTCTCGTTGGCTGGTAGACTGTGGTTGTCGTTGGCTGGTAGACTATGGCTCTCGTTGGCTGTAGACTGTGGCTCTCGTTGGCTGTGAGCTGTGGCTCTCGTTGGCTGTTGGGCTATGGCTCTCATTGGCTGGTGAACTGTGGCTCTCGTTGGCTGGTAGACTGTGTGGTTGTCGTTGGCTGGTAGACTGTGGCTCTCGTTGGCTGTTAGACTGTGGCTCTCGTTGGCTGGTAGACTGTGCTCTCGTTGGCTGGTAGACTGTGGTTGTCGTTGGCTGTTAGACTGTGGTTGTCGTTGGCTGTTAGACTGTGGCTCTCGTTGTGGCTCTCGTTGGCTGGTAGACTGTGGCTCTCGTTGGCTGGTATGGCTCTCGTTGGCGGTGGAGCTGTGGTTGTCGTTGGCTGGTAGACTGTGGCTCTCGTTGGCTGTTAGACTGTGGCTCTCGTTGGCTGGTGGAGCTGTGGCTCTCGTTGGCTGGTACTGTGGTTGTCGTTGGCTGTTAGACTGTGGTTGTCGTTGGCTGTTAGACTGTGGTTGTCGTTGGCTGTTAGACTGTGGTTGTCGTTGGCTGTTAGACTGTGGTTGTCGTTGGCTGTTAGACTGTGGCTCTCGTTGGCTGGTAGACTGTGGTTGTCGTTGGCTGTTAGACTGTGGTTGTCGTTGGCTGTTAGACTGTGGTTGTCGTTGGCTGTTAGACTGTGGTTGTCGTTGGCTGTTAGACTGTGGCTCTCGTTGGCTGGTAGACTGTGGTTGTCGTTGGCTGGTAGACTGTGGCTCGCATCTCTTCAGGCAATAATCTGTCAGCAAAGTTAAAATCTCCGGTAATTGTGTTTACGTATTAATGATGATTTTTTCCCCTCAAGTAATAGTGGTTAAATTATATTATGATCAGTTCTTTAAAAAATACCACACCTGGTAATGATGCTCAGCTACCTGTGTCCAACCCACTTAATTATTGTCGATATCCGCGAATTTCTCTTTTAACTCTGTTTTTGTTGATTCCATTATGAATTAACATGTTTATAATCTTAGGTGTAGATTGATTCACTAATGGCAAGTAACTATGGATGGATGGTGATAAAAAATCATATAGTTATTATATATTGTTTGACTTTTTGTCTTTTGAAATGTTATGTGGATGGTGGCCTAAGCTTGTCACTCAGCCACTCACCCAGCGAGCCACTCACCCAGTCAGCCACTCACCCACCCAGCCACTCATCCACCCAGCCACTCACCCACCCAGCCAACCACACTAAGATGTCAACCTTAACACGTACACAAATTTTCACGTCTGTTTCTTTAATACCAGGTTGTATTCTGGAGAAAGTGGAATGAGTTGCTGAGCTCGTGACAGTTTCCAAGTTGGGAGAATACTTATCACTGTCGAGTATATTGACCAAGCAAACGTGTTAGTCTTCTTTTTTATTGTATATTTTAAATTATTGAGGTGTCGTTGTTGTACTTGAGGGGTTAAAGGCTTCACCATATTTAAGAGAGAATCAGATCCGTGTAGAGTGTGGAGGACTGTGCCCCCATGTACCGTGTAATATGTTATTCCAATTAAAATATACAATTTGAAATTGATATGCGTGTGAAATGATTACTTAAGTGTGTGAGAGTGTGTTAAGCGTGAAATGAGTGTGTCAGACGCAGGAGACATGTGTGTTGGCAGGTCTGACATATGCCTCACTCACCACTATTATAAGGAGTTGTTATCGTGAGCCGTGCACACAGTTGCCAGGGCGGCGCATCGTGTAGCTTGGAGATTAATGTGTGGCTGCTTATTGTCTACCCTACACCATGGTTGAGAGCAGTATATGTCAGGAATGAGAGTCCCTTAGGTCCCCCCCCCCCCCAAACACACACACACACACACACACACACACACACACACACATACTGTACATATTTTGTTAACAATTGTTGAGAGAAACGCTTGGTTATGTTTTGTCTCTGTCTCTACTATGATGTTTAACAGATTAAGAACACGGCAGACATTAGCTTGTAGGTCAGACTGTTAGGTAGTTGCTTCAGTATTCCGGAAGATTGAGTGCAGATATTTTATTGTTTGTAAATAACCAAGTTTTTAGGTAAAGGTTCTAGTCAAACGAACTTATGTACAGTAGCTAAAACTATCTGTGCATACTTTGTAGGAAATAACATGAGACCCTGGACGATAACTTTTGGTATATGAGAGCTGTCACTAGTCACACGTAAAAAAATTCGATCCCCACCTGCACAGATAGTTGTTTTAGCTAATGTAGCACGTGTGTGTTGGCTTATGTTTAAACTCGACCACAGACAGAGGTTATGAACAATAAGCCTGTTGGTTTACTATCGGCAAGATGGTTGTATTACCCTGGGAAATATGGCTGAGAGACTATATAAAATATTCCTTAACATCCCAGGTGCATCATTTAGCGCCATACTGTAGGGAGACTTGAGGTAAACATACGATCGTTTCGGGTACCATCAAGACACACACACACACACACACACACACACACAACTCTGGCGGATCGTAAGACACCCATGATATGACTGAGGGAATAGTTGAGTGAGTTAGGGCAGCGATTAATTTCTCTGGAGAGTTGTGTAGTAGATAGATTCCCTGACGTGATGTGGTTGGTTGGGACGAGTATACAATCACTCAATACCGCCTGGCACGTCGTAGGGGAAGGGGGAGACTGGGATGGGTTTCTGAGTCAGCGATACTGTTTGTCTGTCCTGCAAGATAGTGAGGTGATATACAGTGATTGCGTAGTGTAGGGATCTCAACGTGTCCGCCTCGCTTGTATATAACCTAGATAAGAGCCTTCATTTGAGAATTTCATAGATAAGTTACTCATTTGAATAGTATATATATAGATTTAAGTTCTCATTTGAATATTAGACAAAGAGTTCTCATTTCCATACAGTTTCGTGAAGAGTTTTTTTGCACGTGAGGACTGAGGTTTTGTTAGGTGAGTACAGATGATACACACATACATATATACATAAGAATACATTCATACTCGTATTACCACGTGTACTGTACTTACTCAGACGTAAACAAAGACGGGCGGGTGTTTGTGTGTGTGTGTTTAGGAGAATTGCCATGAATTCATATAAATGTTGTTTATGTATTTTAAATGAACTTTTGAGAATATTTATTGAAAGTTTCTCTTGTGTTTTATTGTATTGTTGTTGTTTTTTTTTAGGGGGATATTTTTCAGTTTGTAGCACTCACTCCAAAAAGTATCGTTACGGTGGGGTTCGATGAGTTTTATAATGAACACTGTGACTCCTGTTGTCTCAGTAGGGTTGTCTAAGTCCTTCGTCCGTTGTGTCATATTGTCTCACACAAAATCGTAAAGATATTTTTTGGGGGAAGTTGTTGTTCTTGGCGTTCAGAATTTTGTTAAGACTATTTTGGTGTTGTGAAGACAGTGGTATTAACTTAATGCAACTGAGACAATGCAACTACACTACTTATTCTGTGTGTGTGTGTGTAATGATCGTGAAGGAGCCATAGTTGAGTGTAGTTCATATCTGTAAACACTATTTCTTCTTAATTTGGTCATTTTTTGTCTGATATCTTCATCGAAATAGTTTACTTTTTGTTCCCAAGTCTGTATTTTTCCCTCGCCTTTGTGTCTCTCCTGCCAGAGTTTTTTTTTTTTTTGTGGGAATATAATAAAGTAGGTCAGCTCCCTCGGCAGTCAGACTAGTGGCCCGGGTGGACACATATAAGTGACACATTCTCCTTATATCTAATTTTTTTTTATCTTTTTATTATTTGCCAAAACTCTTTCCTCTAGCTTTTGTTGTTGTTTTTTTCCCAACCAGAGGGAGAGTTTTCTGCCTGAATTTTCCCCCAACTCTAGGGAATAAAGTATAGGTTACTTCCCCCAGGTGTCGGTACCAATGGCCACAGCCTAGCCAAAGTTTGTACACATTCGATACGTAAAGCTCAGACTATTTTTCTCATTATTTCCCCAACACCACGTTTTGGCTTTTGTGTTTTCCCCTTCAGTGTGAGAACCAGCCTTTCTGCCTGAATTTCCGCCAAGTCAAGGGAATAAAGTATAGGTTGCATCTCCCAGCAGTCTTACCAAATGACACGCAGAGCAAAGTTTGTGTGACAGGGTCTTGGCCAAGTTGGTGGCGGGGGATTGGGTGGCGCCGCCTGGGTTGCCAAGTAGTGTACTGTGATGTGGCGTGACGGAGGGCTGACATCACTGGTATACGTCGAGTTTAATTGGTTGTCGCAGTAATTAATATTTTATATACGTGGGGTAAAGGGGTATTGTTAGTGTGTGTTCTATTGGAGGAAAGTGACAGAGTGAGGGGGGGGGGGACATTCGCCTCGTCTCCCAGAGTTAATTTTTGGTTGAGATTAATCAGTCCTTCCCTGACTTGACTTATAGATGTAATTTTCTTGCGAGGGATTTTTTTTCCGCGCCGTAGCGTAACACAGCTGGTGGAGAATTCTTGCTTTTGTCTCGAGTTGGAATTTAAAGACTTGGGAGTAGTATTTAGTAATCCTGTGAGTTGAAGCACTTAAAACTAGACAGGCAAGCTGGTACTGACAGACAGGCCATGACGGTAGCAACCAACAACATGACATTATGAATCAACATGTTTGAGCCATAACTGTGACTGACCAAGTCATGACGGCGTTAGCAAGCCCAGCAGCAAGACCTTGGCAGCAACAACTGTGGGCGTTAGCAGTCAGCTATGAGCCGATGGCAAACAACGGTGATGGTCATGATGACAGACGGAATGGCCGATGGCAAGCAGCAGCAGGATGGCAATGAAACAACTGACGGTGGCAGATGAAACAATAGACGGTGAAAACAGCAGATGATGGCCAAGTCATGGCAGATGGCAGATCATGCAGACGTTGACCCGATGGCCCATTTGGCCTATGGCAATAGCCAGCAGATAGATGGCAGTTATGTGCGTTATGTATGGCAACAACGTAGACGGAATTAGCAGATCGACAATGATGGCTGTAGACGATGTAGTCATGCTGACGAATAGAATGATAGCCGGTACTTAGCTAGCCACCACCACCACCACTACTATAACAACCACCATCACTATAACAACCACCACTATAACAACCACCATCACCACAACAACAACAACCACCACCACTGCAACCACAACAACAACCACCACCACTGCAACCTCAACAACACCCCTATGTGTTTCGAGTCTAAGTCATCCTTTTATAACTACAACCTTCACCTCCACAACACCCCAACCTCCTCCCTCCTCCTACCTACTCCCTCCTCATCCCCCTCCTTTCCCCTTCTCCCATTCCCCCTTCTCCATCCTCTTCCTATCTTTTTCTCTCCTTCCGCTCATCCTCCTCCCTCTCCATCCCCTTCCCTTCCCCTCCTCTTCACCCACTTCCCCTACCCCTCTTCCTCCTCCTCCCCTACCTGCCTCCTCACCCACTTCCCCACCCCCCTCCTCCACACCATGCACCAGGGCAGGCCAGTGGTCCAGCCTCCGTCCTCTCAACGCTCTCATATCATACGTATGCAAATAAGGGTTGAGTGTATTGCAGCGGAGAGTTATGTAAAATAAGTGGCAGGATTTGTGCTTACTCTATTGCTCTCACCACAACTTCATCTTTATTTAGGTAGTTTTTTTTTCTCTGTTTATGGGGGAAAATTACAGTGAAACCTCTATATAATGGAGGATATGGGGATGAAAGTTCGTTATATCGAGGGTCCGTTCATGTGAAACTTCCCCATCTAACGGATTATAAGTGGATGAAAGTCCGTTATATCGAGGGTCCGTTAATGTGAAACTTTCCCCATCTAACGGATTATAAGTGGATGAAAGTCCGTTATATCGAGGGTCCGTTAATGTGAAACTTTCCCCATCTAACGGATTATAAGTGGATGAAAGTCCGTTATATCGAGGGTCCGTTAATGTGATACCTGGTTTAACCCCTGGAGTATGATGGTTTAGCAGTGAAGTTCATCTTCATGTTTTTGCTATGCACCCCTTTCACCATATGTCAGAATGTCATTCCCCCCTCCTTTCCAAGATTGTCTGCCTCAAAAAGTGCATTCGAAATAATATGCATATAATACTGAAAATCCTTTATTTTTTCCATATTAGTATCAGTTCCCCTGAAAACCTGAAATTCCCCAAGTTGAGAACCCTGGTTTAACCCCTGGAGTATGATGACTTATTCATTATTTTTGTATTGAAACATTATTATTATTATTATTATTATTATTATTATTATTATTATTATTATTATAAAGTTTAATAGCTGTTATGGTATCATGAATATAATTATCTCAATATTTATTTCTTATCATCAATATCAGTATTATAATTACTTTTACCACCATTATCACCCAACTCATAATTTTCTTCACCATCATCACCATTTCCACCATCTTCATCATTTTCATAATTTTCAGCACCACCACCATCACCACCACCATCATCATCACCACCACCACTACCCTCACCACCACCACCACCACCCTCATCACCACCCTCATCATCATCATCATCATACTAGGGCTGGAGGTGGTGGTGATAGTGATGGCCAGCTGCCCGGATGATGCAGACGTAAATGTTCACTTTTATGTGTGTCTGAATATGCAAATGACGATTACCATTCAAGGACCTTAAGCCTCAAACACTTTTTTAATTATTTTTTATTTTTTTATTTATTTATTTATTTATTTGGTGTTTGTGTTATGTTACCTGACTTGTGTATTTAACCCACGGCACAATAATAATAATAATAATAATAATAATAATAATAATAATAAATGATGATAAATATGATAATGATAATGATAAGAATGTAATGAGAGTAACAAGATTATAATAATATTTTTAATAGATATAATAAGTGGTAGTAACTTTACACACACACACACACACACACACACACACTCAAATTAAACACCATCTATATAAGAAAATAAACCCGAAGACAAAAAAATATAGATAATATAGAATGAAAGAAAATAATAGAAAAAATTGCAATTTAATCAGAGGAGATTGCTCTAGTTTTCCCAGGTAACCCCATTGTTGGAACGAACTGCTGCAAGAGGATTATTTCCCAACACCGAACACATAACTCTCTTAAAAGAATGAATTTTCTTAACCAAAAGCCTCGCAGTATTTTATATGGATTGATTTAGATTATTATTATTTTTAATTTAATGAAGGTAAATTATGATGAGTCGGTTTTTTTTTAATATATAGATAATAAACTAGGAAATAATGGTGGCTGGGGTGGTAAAAATGACGTTTATTATTTCAAGTAAGAGCGACGAGGGAAAGTGAATTTGGTCGAACTGAAGGTAAAAAAAATATATATATTAATTCCAGTTATTTAATTAAAGTTAAGAAAAAAAATACCTCAAACGTGATTTTTATTTTTGCCTTGGGTGGGTTTTTGTTTTTTAGAAAGAGAGAGAGAGAGAGAGAGAGATGAGGTAGAAGCAGATAATTAGGAATGAGACAATAATGATAAAGAGATAATGATAAGAATTGATAGTTATAAGCGGAAGGAGGAGAAGGTAAACACTAGGATTTGTAAATAGACTAAAAATCCTACTTTGAGGGCAGCTGAGTGAAGTTGGTAGAGACAAATCCTGGAGGGCCGTGGTCGCCAACCCTCAGACTGTCAATGAGGTGGACCTTGATTGATCCAGAGTCAAGAAGGTCGAGAAAGACACGAGGAAGTTAACTCTGTATGTGTGTGGAGAGTGGTGGTGGTGGAGGAGGTCTTGTGAGAAGGAAGTTAAGAGTTATTGGCCAGAGAGAGGGGGGGTGAGAGAATATTGAGTCAGTCAACCACAAAATTCCCGGAGGTGGAGGCCGGGTGACTCACATGTCCAGGGTTTACACACACACACACACACACACACATGAGGCAAAAGTATAGGAAGGTCGAAGTTAACCAAGAATGTCATGACTTGAGGGGGTGAGGGGAGGGGGCGGGGAAGACCGGGAGGGGTTATGGTGTCTGTCTTGTGTCTGCAAGTGTCTTTTAAGTCTGTCTGTATCTGAAGGGCGTGGCGTGTATGTTTATTTTTTTTCTGGTGGTCTGTAAGTGACTTTTTTGTTAGGGTTTTTTGTCTCTGTTGCTCCTCTTTCTCTCGCCTTCTCTTTTCTTTTTTCACCTCTCTCTCTCTCTCTCTTTCTCTCTCTCTCTCTCTCTCAATAACCAACCACATAATCACCAGTACACCAGAATTAGACATCTGACAACGATGATTGGACAATTTCCACCTAAATAGAGCCATCTTCTGTAGTAAATTTAGATACAGTGATACAGTTTTAATTGATGTAATTATAATAGGTCGTGCCCTATAGTGACCTCTCGTTTTATTGGTTTAGTGACGTTAAAACACCTGCTCTCCATTTTCTTTACGATGACGTCACAACAGCTGGGTGGTTCTGTATCCCCTGGACGCAAGTAACAATATCCTCTGGACGCAAGTAACAATATCCTCTGGACGCAAGTAACAATATTCTTGGTATTCGATTTAACAATTTCTCCAATATTCGAGGAGTTTTCTTATCAAGGAAGTCCCAGGTAGCAATTTCCGTGACACTCAGATAACGGCGTCCTTAATATGCCTGCCGTAATTTCCCCGATTTTGTGCACCACTCTCCCGTTTTCTGTGAGGAAGGGAGGAAGTAGTGTTTTGTTTATGGGGAGTTTTAATCGTAGACAAACTAAAGTATGTCTCGTTTCTTCTTCGACTCTCTCTCTCTCTCTCTCTCTCTCTCTCTCTCTCTCTCTCTCTCTCTCTCTCTCTCTCTCTCAATATGGCTGAAAAATTATACCAAGACTCTACCTTAGTTTAATATCTTTTCTTAACACTGATCCCACCAACACTAACTTGTCTATTAAGTAAAGAAGAAAATTAATTTTTGTTCCCACTAGTTATTTAATAATTTATATACTAAACTCCTTTCGGTCTACCAGTGTTTATATAGGGAGGGATTTATATAATGGAAAAAACATATTTGTATTATAGTGTTTGTCTTAAAAAAAATTACTAAGTCAACATTTTGTCAGTGAAAATTTATGCTTATTTGTCCACTAAAAAGTAACATTAGCAACATCATTTATACATTTATACATGCAACATTATCTGTAAAAACTAGAATTTATAGAAAACATTATTTACCTATAAAATACAAATGTTTAAGTAGTGTTTATGAAGGCAACATTTTATATATTTAAAATATATATATCTTAATTTTTTATTTATTTTTTTTTACAGAGATAATCATTATTTATTGATTTTTTTAGTTCGTCAGTACATCCTGATTTATTTCTACTGTATTTATTTGTTTTGAAATATATCTGATTAAATAATAGTCATACGAACTTTTATTAATTTTATTGGTGTATTTTATTTTAGGCAGTAAATACTAGTTATCTTTTTATTAAGGATACAGAGGCCAACATTTACCCCCAGAGGCCGACATTTACCCCCCAGAGGCCAACATTTACCCCAGAGGCCAACATTTACCCCAGAGGCCGACATTTACCCCCCAGAGGCCAACATTTACCCCAGAGGCCAACATTTACCCCAGAGGCCAACATTTACCCCAGAATCCAACATTTACCCCCAGAGGCCAACATTTATGTGTCATGTGTCCATTTGCCTTCCCTCTTACAGTAGACACCACCAACCTTCTCCACCAGTGAAAATCTTTACCAATTTATGTTTTCCTTTGCAGGGTGGACGAGTGTGAGCCCGGGGTCGTGTGTAGTGGTCACGTTCTTCCTGCCTGCCTGCCTCGACTACTGATGACCACCACCCTCACCCTCGACCTCCTCCTCCTCCTGCTGCTGCTGCCACCTGCTCACCTGAGTGGCCCGATGGGTGTTTGAGTGACCACCTGGAGACCTTTTTCGGTGATGTCTGGTTCTCTCTCTGTCTGTGTGTGTGTGTGTCTCTCTGCTCTCTTGAGTGGCCAGGTGTTCCCTTCATACCTGCAACAAGACCGTCTTCCTTGTGAGTAACGGAGTGTGGAGGCTTCGTTTGTGAGTGACGGAGTGTGACGGCTTAGTCGACTTTCTGCTTCATCTGGGAAAGTGAATGGTCTTCCTCCAGGGCAGTATCAAGCTTACTCAAAGTGTAGATGAGTGACAGTCATGGACACGCGTGAGTGACGACCCGCAGAGTGGTGGTTACTTATGGTGTATAACAAATAGCTCAACGTCACATCTACACACTTAACCTAAAAAAAAAAAACACAAACAACAAAATGCCGCAACACTCGGTTATATAATACTCAACATAGAGAGTGGAGCAGCAGTGGTTCAAGTGAGGCAGAATTTACGAGGTGAGGCGTCGTGTCATTTTCTTGAAAGATGTTGGCCAGACCAGGACAGCCAACCCGGGAGTAACTCACACGCGGAGGAGAGAATATAAACTACAACACTTCTTACTGCCTGTCTGGGTGTAAGATCTTGCAGGAAATAAATAGAAATAAAATATAAGTGTATAGCTGAATGAACAAAAACAAACTGGACGTAATCATATAGAGGAATTATCGATGTATTGTGTATAAACAACAGAAGAGAAGAAAAAAAAAAGAAAAGACGTGAAAGATGAAGTGATTTTCAAGAGGAACACATAAAAGAAACATAACCCATCCCCAAAGTTGCCATGGGTGATCGCTCTCTGCTCCTGCACCTGAGATGGCTGCTGCTGCTGATTTTCGCCCTTATACCAAGCCCCGGTAAGTACGTCTTTTGATGGTTTCTTATTGTTATTATTTTTTTTTTTATGCTTTTTCTCCCTCCTGCACGTCTCTTCCCTCACCTGAAGTACTCCAGGCCAAATCTTGACTGAGGAGCATAGTATCCAAGTGTGTGTGTTATAGCCGCTGTTTGGACCTAACTTTTATGTCCTTGCTTGCTCGAGTCTCTTATTGCTTCTGTCACTTTGTCTCGGAGAACTACCGCGTCAGTATCAACTCCGACCTCCGACCCCACCACCGACTCGTCCCCAGCTCCTACCTCCCTGCACTGAAGACTAGAGGAGTGGAGTTTGTGTTTGGTTTTTGTTCTGTGGGTTTATGTTTGGCTATTGTTTGGCCTTTGTGGGTTTTTGTTTGGCCTTTATTTATGGGTTTATGTTTGGCTATTGTTTGGCCTTTCTTTGTGGGTTTTTGTTTGGCCTTTATTTGGCCTTTCTTTGTGAATTTATATCTGGTTATAGGTATATCTTTTCTCATTACTTCCACAAAAAATTTTTTAACTTTTACTAATATATTCTTTTAAGTTAGGGTTTAGAATACGTTTGAATTTATTTATATATTAGTTAAATTGTGTGAGTGACAACAGTAGAAATAATAGAATGGATTTTGTCTCGGCTTAGAATGTTGAGTTTGCTTATAGACAAGATGTAATGTCTGTCGCTTTGTATTTAGTAGTTTTTTATTATAATTGATATATGATTAAATGTATTGTAATGTAGATGAGAAAGATATTGATGAATTGGCAATACTGTAGAGGTAAATGTATTGTAATGTAGATGAGAAAGATATTGATGAATTGGCAATACTGTAGATAGATCATGGTTGTATTATGACTGGCAGTAAGGGTCAACTCATCAGCTTACACTATGACCTTATTCATTACATTATACACAGTGTAGCAAGCAAGACTTATTCACTGTTTCAACGCCTCGTGAGAATAAGTTAAAGGTGGTGAGAATAATGATGATAATTGTATTGTTTGTACACTGGTAAATATAATAGTGGCAAACAATTAACAGAGTACTGGTATAGTGACAATAATATAGTACCGTGATGATGATGACGATAATAATAATAATAATAATAATAATGATAACTCAAAATTCGCTGTATTATCCAAGTTCAGCCGGTAATGTCAACACACACACACACACACACACACACAATAGTAAACAAGGTGAGACGCCCGGGTAGGTGGGAGTGGGTGGGTGGGTGGGAGGCCCAGGGTGAGTAAGAGGCAGAGTGAGGAGGAGGGCTAGGGGGGGGATAGGGAAGGAGAGGGGGGGGAGTTAACTGGCTCCTTGGGGCTAATGAGCGGGTGGAATTGGTACGCCAGGGTGATGCTAAAAGAGATTGATGGTATGGTTTAAACTCTTCTGGGTTTTTTGGTTTATTTTCTTTTTAAGACGGGAGCTTACTTAACTCTTCTGGGGCAATGGTTTAATTCTTTGAGGGGGATGGTTTAATTCTTTTGAGGAGGATGGTTTAACTTAAGGGTGTTTATAATTGAGGATGATAATTTAATTCCTTTGAGGGTGTTGGTTTAATTTTTTTAGAGTGTTGGTTTAACCTTTTGAGGGTGTTGTTTTAACTTTAAGGATGATGATATAAATATGGATGAAGGTTTAAGTTTTTGAGAATACGGAAGGTTTCGCTAACTAGGCAACGACACATTGTTTTAACTTTGTAATGTTAGATGGGAGGAAGAAGTCTCTCTCTCTCTCTCTCTCTCTCCCAGTACAGATGGCTGGTGTGGCCGTTACACATGGTTTCAACATGAGGTTTATGGCCTCATGTTGTGTCATATACCACGACCGAGGGTGCACAGCTTCCCTCAACTCTCTTTAATTATAATAGACTGAGGATGATGTGTGGTGATGTAGTGGTGATGGTAGTAGTTGTGGTGGTGGTGATGTAGTGGTGATGGTAGTAGTTGTGGTGGTGGTGATGGTAGTGGTGATGGTAGTAGTTGTAAAAGTGGGATGCAGTGGTGATGGTGTAGTTGTGGTGGTGGTGATGTAGTGGTGATGGTAGTAGTTGTGGTGATGGTGATAGTGGTGATGGTGATAGTGGTGTATGCTGGATGAGGGAAGGAAGCGGTACCATGACCATCCTGGGAGCAAGAATGATGCAAGCTTATCTTCACTCCATTATAAGTGTCCCTCTCCTCCTCCCTCCCTCCCTCCTCCTCCCTCCCTCCCTCCTCACCCCCTCCTCACACTCTCCCTCCTCCCTCCCTCCCACCCCCTCTCTCTCTCCTCTCTCCTCCCTCCCACCCTCCCCCACCCTCCTCCCCTCCTCCTCCTCCCCTCTCTCCCCTCTCCTCTCTCTCTCCCTCTCCCTCTCACCCCTCCCCGGTTGTAGCTCTCAGAGGACTGCTTTGTAGGTCAGCGCTCCTTAAGTGAGAGAGGGAGAAAGAGAGAGAGGCCATTTGTATAGTGGAGTGGATGTGTGGAGTAGTAGTGTGTGTGTGGAGTAGAAGAGTAGGTGTGTGTGTGTGGAGTAGATGAGTAGGTGTGTGTGTGTGTGGAGTAGATGAGTAGGTGTGTGTGTGTGTGGAGTAGAAGAGTAGGTGTGTGAATATTTGTATAGCGAACCAGCAGGATATGTAAAGCACACACACACACACACACACACACACACACACACACACACACACACACACACGCACGCACACACACACACACACACACACACACACACACACACACACACGCACACACAACACACACACACACACACACACACACACACACACACACACACACACACACACCCTGGGACGTGAATGATATGTGTAAAGGGGGGGGGTCCTAACATCTTCCCCAAATTGACCAGTTTTATGGATGTGTGTGTGTGTAGAGGAGAGATTTTTCACAATTTTTATTAGGAGAGAGAGAGAGAGAGAGAGAGAGAGAGAGAGAGAGAGAGAGAGAGAGAGAGAGAGAAATTCCTCACATCGTGAACAAAAGCCAAGAGTTTAAAAATGGTAGCATCGGTGACTTCCTTAGGTGTGGGTGGATGGCGCCAGCTCCTCTACAAGTATTATACCGTACATTTCCAGACGTCTCATGCACCACTGGGCTTGATGTTTGCCGCCGCCGCCCCTCTTACACCACCAACGTTGTGGCCCTGGTCGTTGCTCTTGGGGTCATATTTTTTCGCTCTTGGGGTCACATTTTTTAGTCTTGAGGTCATATTTTTGTTTTGAGGGGGGTCACATTTTTTGCTCTTGGGTGCTCTTTCTGCTTTTGAGATCATGTTTTTACATTTGGGGCCACATTTTTTGCTCTTGGTGGGGTCACATTTTTTGCTGGTCTTTGAAGCCATGGTTTGGGTGTCGTGAATATTAGCTGTCTCCCCTCCAGCTGGTTTCACCTGTTGATTAACCACCTTTACGTTGTCTGGGAGTTAGATTAGGTTACTGAGAGAGAGAGAGAGAGAGAGAGTACTATAGGGAAACTGATTTTTTTCATACGTTAGAAAATTTTATTCTTAAGTGAGGTTGGGTGTGTATTGGTGGGAGGGGGTTAGTAAGTGAAACGTGGGTGGGTGTATCCGTAGAGTTATTGACGTTGTGTGTGTGGTATTGTTGGGGATGGAGACATACACACACACACACACACACACACACACACACACACACACGCACAATAAAATACGGTGTAGCTACGTATAATATTCAACTTACAATATTTCCTCCCTCCCCGGCTAGGAAAAATGACTGGAGCTCATGCGAAACTTATTTACAATTCCCGAGTGTGTTGCAAGTTCTTCCCAGACTGCAGGCCCGAGTGATCCCGACCCGTTTCTATTGCTGAGGTTATTACGGGTCTCGGTGCATACAACTCATGTTATTTTATCCAGTAATTGAATAAAATGTTGTTATTAATCTATCTTGACTCCCTTGTAATGTTGTTGATGGGTTGTAGGTGTGTGGTAGGTTGTGAGGTGGTGGTTGTTGCTCAGGGTTATAGAATGGAGTAAATTATAGGTATTGATGTGTCCTAATTGTCTGGTGTTGTTGGTGGCGAGTCGGTAGGATGTGAGGTGGTTGTTCAAACTTGGAGGGAGGGGAATGTCCCTCTTATTATCTACAGAATGAGGAAGAGAATTGGCGTTTGTCCGCCCATCCTCTTCCTCTCCTCTCCTCCCCTCCTCCCTCCCCTCCCTTCCCTTCTTTCCCCCTTCTCCTCCCTCCCCTCACCCTCTCCTCCCTCCCCCTCCTCCTAAATGTCCAACTTATTATAAGAGATCGCTGGCGTTTCTCTTCCTGATAAAAGATTATTTTAAGGTTATAGTAGTGTGGCTCTCTCTCTCTCTCTCTCATATACGTACAGTATTCAGAAACCCGGGCTGAATATAATTTCAACACACACACACACACACACACACACACACACACACACACATTCAAGTCAGTTTCTTCTTTACTACAATAAATTCTGCATCAGTAACAGATGGACCCTCCTCCTCCTCCTCCTCCTCCTCCTCCTCCCCCTCCTTGGCATATTTCTTCACGAGTTACCTGTCGCTTCCCCCCAACTTCTTGTCTCGACGCGTCTAAACTTCGTAAGCCACTCGTCTCGCCTGTGTTCCCGCGTTAAGCATAAAATTCTCTCCCACAGATAAATTTCCCGGGGAAGCTTATTTGATTCTGAACCACCGAGTGAAAGAGAGGAAGGAAGGAAGGTCTTGTTATCGTGTGGTTGTGGTGGTGTGATGTTAATGTGGTGTTTTGTGAGTGGTGGTGTTAATGTGGTGATAGTGTGGTGTTAATGTGGTGTTTTGTGAGTGGTGGTTTTAGTGTGTGTGTGTAGGCAAGTCAACCTCTCTCTCTCTCTCTCTCTAATTTAACGTATTTTTTGAGCAGTATAGCAAGAGTACTTCTTAATTAGATGTAATTATGAATGAATTACTCTTGATTAGGAAGTGAAGAAGGGGGAGAGAGAGGAGTGATGAATGAGGAAAAGGAGGAA